CTCCCCTAGACACCAGCTCCCACAAGCAGCTGAAAACAAATGTGGTTAAAGGAAATATGTGCACACCTTTAGACAGTGTTGCACATGGGTCTCTCCCATATTGCCTAAAAGCTCTTTCTACAGATGCTGTCAGCCAGGTGCAGAGATGTGACTTAGTGGAGATCTGGATTTTGGGGGTTAGGGAAGTGTGAAAGGCAGTTAGAGCTGCAGCAACAGACATGGGTACAAGATCCAGAATTTTTTACTAATGCTCCTCTGCAGACACAGTTTCACTCACTTTTCTTCTTTCTGGATGCTCTGATCAACATCAGAATAGCGACTAAGAACAAAATGAGGACCAGCACGACGCAGGGTGTCAGGATGCAGAAGATTATATTCTGATCCGCGAGAGAACTGGAAGAAAAGAGAGATTCTCTTTGAAAACCCTCTGCTACAATCACCGATTCAACAAGCAGTGACTGTAGGGCAACAGGCACAGGGGGGACAGCAGGTGGATGCACTAGTCCAAATTTAGTTTGGTTGAGGTCACCTGTAAAACGGGTTTGGCACATGCATCAAATTGTGAAGCCAAGTAACCTGCCGCATGATCCAATCTCTAGAGCAAAGGTCTTGCAGGTATGGTCCATCACATCACTGGAGGGGGGATGCCACAAAACCATAAACTGAGGTGCTACAGCCAGACGAGGGCATGGGGGAGCAAGACCACGACTGATCTAGCATCGTGAAGTGAAGGAGAAAAGTAGATCAGTGGTTCTCATCCATTTTAGACTCGAAGCAACACTGGGAAAATAACAACTTTTGGTTTTCACTCTTTTTTTTTTTTTGGACTACAGAAAAATAGAGTGGTTTTTTTTCTGATGCGAAGAACTCAGAAAGACCACAAGTCAGAACACTATGGATCCCTATCGGAAATCTCTTGGTGTATCTTGTGAATCATGTTCGCATATCTAACAGCAATATGTGTCACAGTGTAACGCCCTTTGATATCACTACTGAGACACTGATCTCCACATTTACTGTAACCATGCTCCCTGGACCTGCACTTTTGTTATGAGGCAGTTCACATTTTCTGTCCTGTGTGGTCTTAGCGGGCTATAGAGACCTTAAGGCATGGTCTGGTCCTGGGTGGTTTGGTGACACTCAGTGGCCTCCCTCCATTCCAGCTGCCCAGAATTTCACAGCTGATCTGGAAGGAGAGAGGAAACGCTAGGGCAGGATTTGCATCATGATCCACTTCCTTCTGATACAGTCAGTTCATGTAACTTATATCATTTTTCATGTGCAGTATTATATTGGCTCATAACCACCCAAGAAATTTGCCTGGTTTGCTTTGGTCTTTTATGCTCTTTAGATCAGCAGTGATCAGCCGTCACTATGCTGAGGCCAGTGGGGATGCACTGCTACCTACTTGTGGCTATTTTTTACTAATGCTTTGGAAATGCAGGTTCTAGTCATGCAAACGTTTAGGCAGATGCCTACCTTTTTATACAAGGCAACTGACCCTGCAGTTATAGCAAACTTGAATTATAGAAAATAAAAACCTTCCTGGAGTTAAAGGAGCAGCGGTGGCCAAATCCGGTCCAAAATGTAGACACGTAAAGTTTCACAAAAATTTGAGACCAAGGGAGAAGTTTCTGTGAGCTGATCTAAAGTCAGTCTAGACAAATAAGGATTCTGCTTGTTCAGGGCGCTGAAATTCTTTGGCCCCGACACAACTTCACTTAAAGGTGCGATGGGATCTGACCCCCAATCCCAACTACCGTGCCTTCTGCCATGCCACACATGCATGTGCCACACATACATGGCAGGAGGCATGACTCTGAGATCCCGGATCAGACTCCAGATCAGGGGGAACCCAGGGTCAGTCCTGGGAGCCCACAGAGCCTGGGATCAGCTGATTGTTAGCTCCAACCCTGGGATCGGGCCAAGGCTATTTGCAGACCCCAGCGTGGTAGGAACTGATAATCATCTGGTTGTTGGCACCAGCCCTGGACATGCCATATGTCCAATTTAAGGTGCTGCCCAAACCAGCTGTAAAACTGTTCTGCATTACTTATGGAACATTTTTATGGCTGGTTGCCATTTAAGACACTTTAAATTGGGTGTACAAGTAACATCCTATCCAGTGGTGCTGCAATTAGCACATTAATTGTGGCATACATATAATGTGTGGAAGGGCCCTTAGTCGCATGTGTGAACTACTGCATGGGCCACAGTCTAACTGACTGGAAGGAAAAATGAAACCTGCTGGTTTTCTTTCCTCTTTCAAGCCCTGCAAAGCTCAGACAGCAAGTAAAACCATTGTAGAAAAGGTAACATGCTTTCTGTATTCCTTAAGTTCTACATATAGAGGGTCTAAATATTGCAGCCTGCCTCTACTCTCAGCTTATTCAGCACCACTTAGTCTTCCCCTCCATGTTGGCAATGGTTAGCATAGGTGAGACTATAGATGTTCATAAGAACAGTCCTGTGAAGCAAGTCATTTGCATGAATGCATGCTGGTGTCCTTAGTAGTGGTGCAACAAGTAGAGAAAATGGACAGTAAGACTGGGAAAGGAATGAGGAAGAATGCAACTTGTGGCTGGGTTCAGTCACTTGTTTTTTCTGCAGGTGTGTGGGTTGCAGCAATATAAGTCCTAGCTGAACTAAACAGACACCTTGGAGCATGTAAGCAGTCCCACTGAGCTCCTGGGAAGGGACAGAGATTGCTCTTACAGTGAGAAATAACTTGTTCCGACCTCCAGTCCAGGTGCCATGACTCTTCCCTGGGGTTTAGCTCCTCCACAACCACATCCTAGCTATAGCTTGTTTTTCAAGGAATGCAGTGGAGGTAGCTGAGATCTGACAGAGAGCATAGCAGGTCTTCGTGATGAGCTTTTACAGATCAGAGCTGTCATGTAGAGAGGCAGAATTGAGCTGTGATTATTTTTCTGGGCATGGTGGGCAGTAGGATGCTGGCCTGTCAAGGCATTGCCTGGGGTACAGAAACCCAGGCTCAGCCATTGCTTCCAGGGAAAGAAGCGCCCATAAAGCCCTGAACTGGGGGTGCTGCTGGCACTCACCTCTGTGTGGCAGACTTGGTGCTGGATTTGCCCTGCCAAGTAACTTTCGATGTGGAAGTAGATCCCTTGGAGGAAGCAGAAGGTGTGAACTCTGTTGCTGACGACGAACTGGTAGTTGAG